TGACTGGACTAAATTAACATTCACTTTGATTAACAATTTAAACTAAAGGGTGTCCAAAGTGTGGCCCCGTGGGCCATTTGTGGCCGTGGAGGTGGTTTTGTGCGGTCCTCGATGGCACAAATAAATTTTGATGTTGGAGGTTGGAGGTTGATGCAGACTATAAAAAAAGGGTGAAATTTGCACTTTCAAAAAAAAAAAGATACAGATGAATTCATTTTTTTTCTTTTGTTTTTTAATGGAAGGTGTGACACAAAGTACCCATCTTCTGTCAGCCAAGTTTTTAGCTTTTATTTCAAATTCATAGTAAACAGATCAGAAAACATCCAGTGACTTTTATTTGAGCAGATCTTGGTTGTAACCTTAGAGAAATAAAGCAAAGGTTTTTGTAGAAATACCAAAAAAATCTTAAGTTACAGTTTTATAAATAAATGTTGGTTTTGAAACATTGCTGACAGGTTTGTTTGTGTCCCTTTTAAACAAGGTGAAGTTGTGAGATTTTAGGTGAATTACAGCTCCCTTTCCTACAGAAATCAGACTGGATTTGATTAAACAACAATCAGATAAAAAAGGAAACGTTCGCAATTCTGAAGAAATAAAACAGACAAAAAAAAAAATCTAAAGTTTTGGCCCACATGGCCTGATGTTTGGACACCTCTGATTTAAATCTCTGTGAAGTGATCCTTTATTGGCTTTCCTTAAAACTGGAAAATTTCTTCGCAGATTTTAACAGTTCAGCAGGTTTCAATACAACTTACACTATCATGACTAACGTTAAATAACAAAACATGAATTTCCACTCTGTGTTCAAGTGAAAAGTTGATGTTCATTCAAATTCAGTGAACTCTTTCTGGTTGCCTCTTTTAGTTCTATTTTATAAACTTCGTTGTCTTCCTCAGCTTGTTTCCATCGTGGCAGCGATGTGACGGGACTTTGTGGCCGATATCCAGGAGACTTTCTATCAGTAACACCGGCAGCAGTGGGCTCTGTTGAGGGGACTGTGGAGGTTTCCACAGTTGTCATTTTCCCAGTGTAGGAGCAGAAAGCTGCCGTGGACAGCAAATCGTCCCTGTGGTAACGGCGGACCTGTCCTCTGTATGAGTTCCACAGTGGGAGCGAGTGGGGCTGTAACTCCACATTGCTGCTTTCCCCAGCGGGAGAATGTCACCAAGGAAATAGAGACGGGAGGAAAATTGTCAGCACTGTGACTTTTGCTCCTCTTCATGTGCAGAGTTCAGAGTTTTCTGTTGTTCTTGCTGTTTCTGAGTTGAATTTGAGAACGTCTAGATGTTCCACAACACGTTTTTGCCAAAATTGATCAAGCAGTGAAATTTTAGTGGACATCATTGTACTTTTTAGCTCTACGAAAACTTGGACACTGCTTGGGTATGAGAAGTAAAAATACAAGTTTCAGACAAATATACTGACACAAAAATGTTGTCACTCTCATAACTGCATAATTGAAATTTTTTAGAACAGAAAATGAAGAATTATTCCTACTGCAGTGTAAACAAAACACAATGATTATTTTTATTTTTATTTACTAATGTATGTTTTTATTTAGTAAAAACATGCATTAATTGTGTTTTTGATGTCAAGCAGGAGCTAATTAAAGAAAAGCTGGTTTATGTGAATAAAAATGATTATATCTTATAAACCAAATAAAGAGTTAAGTTTGATGCAAATTAGCAACAATCGGCAAAACTGACTATAATAACACTTAAACAGATTTTATAGTTTATTGGAGGTAGATTATTTTACTAATGCTGCTTTGGGTGAACAGGACTTTGAAGCTGAAATATGCAGCATTCAACAATTTTTTATTTTTTTATTTTTATTTTTTTACAATCCCATCCGGTACATCATCACACTTTTTCATTTTTCATATTGTAAAATCTCAAGTGTAATTTAACTATAAAAGGGGTTAATATGAGGATTCGGTAGCATTTCAAAGCTGGTCTAGATGAGTAGTTCAGAAACCTTTTAGCTTCAGAAAGTCACATTTGAACATACTCATGATGAGGCCTGGGAAATAATGACCTTAAGTAAAAAATACCATTGTTATAGGTTTTTATTTGAGCCAGCTGATCAGCAGTGTGTAGCAACATGTGATATGTTTTCTGGCATCTCATTAAAAGGATGGTGCTTCCTGTTTTTTTCCCAGTTTTAAAGCCTCAACTTTTTCAACACCTGATATACTTTGATGCTAATAACTCTCCCATGCCTTGTGAATGTTGATTTTTGTGAGTTTTAAAGGATTTGGTCACTCAATATATAGTTTTAATAAAAAAAATCTTCCATTTACTATCCATGTTTATTTTACACATCTACCAATTTATTGGGAAATCATTTTCGGTTTGTGGTTATTTAAAATGAGTTCAGGGCGTACCTCGCTTGCTCATGAACACAGAGAGCTTGTTATGGTTTTATGCCAGTTCCTGTATAATTTGTCATGTCTGGGGAAGAATCGCTGCTCTTCAACTTCCCTTCTATAAAGTACAGAGAGTTTCCACGGTTACCAGGGACTATTCATCCGAGGCCCATGTCAAAATGAAAAACAAACAAAGACAAAAGCTTTAACACAAAGGTTAGCGCGGATGTGATGTAAGACCTTCCTCGGTGGATTGAAATCATCCTCCTCACAGAGACTTCTTCTTGCTTTATTTAAATTTGTCAAGTCCCTTTCTATTTTTTTTCCTTCCTTTTGCTTTCACTTGAATTAAATCGTCTCCGCTTTTAACCACTGATCCTTATCTCTCTTATTGTCACAAGCCATGAATCAAAAAGCAATTGCCTCATATCTTACTCCGCATCTCTGCAGCTTTATTGCGGCGGTTTAATCCTTCGGCTGGTTGACAAAATGGAACATCATCGTGATCACCGCCGTCATAACAACTTTACCGAGAAAATTATATTAACACAATCCTCCCCTTGATATTAAAATAAAGCATGGTCTCATTTTTTTTATTTTTTTGGTCTCCAAATGATAGCATTAGGTGCACGCACGTTTGTCAGCAGAGAGTATAAGAGTGAGGTTATAAACAATGCCATTCATTATCTGGCCCAGATGCAGCGATTGTTGATTAAAGGGCACCGAATATAACAGCCACACACACACACGCACACACACACACAGATGGGTGGACATTAGGAAAAGAGGAGAGGCCATCTGAATAGGCTGGAGGGACATTAACGGCAACAATGATTGATATTTGCCGCGCAGGCTTTTTAATGGTATTGTTATTCCTCAGAGTTATACCCCGTCCTCCCCACATCTCGTCTCGCAGATAAATGGAGGTGTAATAATGAATAGAAATTATCCTGATTATTTTTGCTGGAGGTGTGTGGGAGAGCGAGTGGGGTGTGAATCATCATCCAACGTGAAGCTTTAGTTGACTATCTTTTGTGGATTTTCTTCAATGTCTTTTTTTTAAGTTCTACATAGGAAAAATATATTAAATTATTGTTATATAAATAAAAAAAAATTACAGCTGTCTTGAAATTGCATGTCAGATTTACGTCTGTTTAGTCTTTTCATTGTTTGCTACATTTACAACGGAGCGAGACGTTTCTGAACAGCCACGTGACAAATCAAACACAAATCGATAAAAACGCAACATGTAACATCAGCGTAAAATTCCAGTTCAGGATTTTAGCACCTTAACACATAAAAAAAAAATGGGTTGCAGTCTGGTGGTTCTTTTATTATTGCCAGCACTGCATCGACTTTTTCAGCTCCCCTCACTATCCTCAGCAGGGACATTTTGTTGGCCACTCTCCAAATCCACAGTATTCATTAACTGATTTGTAACAATCATTAAAAGGTGACACGGATCTTAAATTTACTAAAATATTGAAACTCTATCTTTGAATTTAAAAGCTGCTTCTTGAATGTGTTGTATGGTCAAAGAAACCTGACAATATTTCTGTCATATTTTGGGCATTTATGATCTCCTTTGAACAGTTGTAACATGTTTTATGCATTTTGTTCAATTCTACCACTACAACAAGCCCTTTAAATAGCAGTTCTCACCAGACTTCCTTTCTCTGTTAAAGCACTTGTACACTGCACAAACTATCTGATATAAATTACAGCACTTTTGTTGTCTTCGGACCCCAACAAGGATTGCTCGCATGAACAGCTGAAGTGGACATCGCCAAAAACACAGCATTTGATGTGAGAGGCCAGCTTGTCCGAGGCAGTTGCGTTTATTGCACACTCCTCTGGCACCTGCTGCTGTGCAGCCGGGCCTGCCAGGACACACATGCGAGCGCACTCACAGCCTCCTCCGCCCTCCTCTCTATTTAAGCCTCTAGCCACCCAAAATGACGGTCATTATCGCTCCTCGATTACATTCGCAGGACTCGGCTGCTGTTTCGCTGCTCCACCGCTGCATTGTGTAACTTCAGGAAATTCATCCAGCCGCTGAAAACACTTCGTTTACAGATGACCTGTCCCTTTATTGTTGATGAATGCTTTATTTGTGATTTTTGTAAACTGTAAGACACTGATTACTGTCGAGGTCACAGAAACAGATAGCAAATTATGAGAGCTGGTTTTTGTTGTCTTTCGCCGTTTGATTTGACATTCATTTAAACCCGTTGAGCTCTTATTGTTATCTCATCTGTTATGTTTAACATGTTTAACATGTTTTCCTCATTCATCTTTGCTCTTTTTCATTCTTGTGTCCATTTTTCCTATGTCTTCCGTATCCCTCTAAAACATTAATTTAGTTAGTTTTTCTTTAACGTAACAATTAGATTAATAATTAGGGCTGTATAACTATTTTAATTTTATTCCCAAATAATTAGAAAACAATCAACAAAAAACTACTACCATACCATATCTCTTTAAATAAATACAACATAGTGCCGTACAAAAATCAAAACAAAGAACAATTAGGAAATTGTAAGAAAATAGAAATTTAAGATGCACTTCGCTCATTTATTTCCACGGTAATTTAAAAGCAGAGAGGAATTCACACCAAATAGTATCTGGTGCAGAGACGGAAATGGGTGCTGCGGCTCCCTGTCTGTCTGTGAGACTTGCACAGCTGTGCTAAGTCACTTAGACGATAGCAAAGTGCTGAGTTGAAACAGGAGTCGTACGTTTGACGGTAAGATAATACATTTACAAAGTGGGAAAAAAATATTTTAGTTTCAGCCAGACTTAGTTTAGGTTTACATTCTGCCTTGTTACAAGCGACACCATCGAAAATACGCATCAAAACAAAGAGGTAGCAGGCTAGCGTTAGCTTGATACTGTAGCTAGTTGTACCGTATGAAAACATTGTGTGTGAGATGTGAGTGTATCAAATACTGTGTTCACGTTTGAGTGAGTTTAGATGTTTCTTTAGAACAAAGTTACACAGCTACATGTGTTTGAGATCAAGTTCTGGTGACTAAAGCAGCTTTATGAACCAAGTTAGCCACACACTGGACCAGAAAGTAGAGAAACATGAGCTAACGTGAACAGTAGATAGTCATTATGAAACACAATCACACAGTTGTTGACCACTTCAGATGAAATAAGAATTTAGAAGTATATCTGAATTAGTAAAAAATAACTTCTTACTGTATGAGAGATACTTTATTTAAAGTAATGACAGATATATTACCAAAATGTTTGGCTCAATATGTCTCCTCAAAAAAATCTGAATGGAAAAAATAACACATTTTCACTGGGCCCTTTTTTTTTTACTACTTTAATGAATAAATACAGTGTTTCCAAAAATTAATGATTGATAATTGTGATTGCAATATTGACCAAAATATTTATAGTTATGTTACACTTAGTTACATTTTATGTTGCAGAACTTTAATTAGGAATGTCTTTTCATTACACATAAATACATCATATTTAAGAAATAAAAATGTTACTGAATCATTTCAGTAGCTTAGTTCAGCCAGGAGAAATTCTATTTATTTTATTTTATTTTTTTACACACAGATAGATGTTTTCAAGGCTTTATTAATTCAGAGTTTTTACATTTAAGATTACAATATAAAACAGAATTGTGGGCCTAATGAAAAGTATGATTATTACCTGACTAGGTTATTTTTAGAAAGTACTTTCAACGAGCCTCATCAGAAACACAAATTCCAGTTTCTTGAATGTGACCATATGTTGTGGTTTACAGAAACTTTTGATTCGTCCCAAATTAACCATGCTTGCATATTTTGTTGCTACGTTCTCAAACCAAAGTAAAAACAGCAACTGAATCTTGTTGAATACATAAAATATTTGCTTTTTTTTATTGAATTCCTTCAGCTTTTTTCCTCGTTCTCCTTCGCCACTAAGCTACCATTAAGAACTTCTTGTTCTCCCTCTGTTTTTTTTGTCTACCCTCACTCTCCTCTTCAACCATACCAACACGCCGCGCGCCATCCTCTCCTGTGGTGAAATGTTGTGATGCCGTTCCTCCGACATCTTCCCCCTCTTCGCTCCACCAGCCTTATTCCGCTCTTTCAGTAATCAAGGCCAGATGGAGGCAGAGATGGAGTGATGCGGGGAGGGAGGATTGGGTTTGGTCCTAGCAGTGTCTTAGAACGTGGTGAGCTGTCAGCCCTGCAGGGAGAGGAAAATTCTCCGGCAATAAAATACGGATTTATCACCACTCTACCATGGAGAGAGAAAGAGGGAGGGAGAAAGAGAGACAGACGTAGGGAGAGAGAAAGAGGTAGAAAAACGAACAAAGAAATTGGGTAGGAACTGGTGATGTGGGGGAGAGAAGAATATAGAGGTTTCGATGGAGAGACCCACAACTGATAGAAGACTCATCATCGAAGAGACAGACTAAAGAAGCAGAGAGGAGAAACTCAATGAAGGACGTTTGTAGCTGGAAAAGCCTCGACGCAGAAGACAAGACGGGGGGATAAAAATCGAAGAAGACAGTTGCGTGAAGACACCCACAGCTCATCTGCTCGTTCTAAAGCGGCCTGACAAATTCCCTCCCACCATCTGCACGATCCGGGGAGACGAGCGTCTGTCCAGAAACCGATGCCCAGTCGCTTTCAAGGGATGTGATGTCAAGCAAAGAGAGTCCACCTCCCCACTGGGTCAAATGAACCTGCTAAAATAACTGCTCTCCACAATCGACTGTGTAATTGAAACCAGAATGTGCGGGATTTGATAAATTGCTTGACCCCGCTGGAATGTTAAGGTCATAAATTTGTAGTGTGTTTCGGTGGTGCTGAGATGTGCAGGCTTGTACATTAAGAATGCTGGTGTGTGTCTGAAATTCACAGGAAAAGGGGCTGTGTGTGTTTTATTCATTCAAAAAAAAAGAAAAAAAAGAAAGGAACAGTCCTGCAAAGAGAGCGTAGAAATGCCGGCGCACTTAATGCGGAACGTTCAGCCATGCACGCTCCTTAGCAACCCACGAGTTCACAAGCTGTACTAACACCATGCGCCACATTTTCCTTCACGCTGACAATAGAACCAGTAATTGGTTCTTTATCCAACATCTGTGAGGGCTTACCTTAAATATGTGTTGGGGATACACAGCCACTAAGGCGAAAAATAGATCTGAAGCTTGGCAAAAAAAATAGTCTAGATAATTCTTGAAGACTGATATGAGAAGTTGGACTTCTTTTGTTTCCAAAAAAAAAGGACGTTTTCAATTTGGTCAAACATTTAGTAATTTAGTATTGATATTTTTGATTTGTTCAGATATATTTTTAATGGTTTCTGTGAATGGCACATGACATGTTGCAACTTTAAAATATACCTCAGATCACACGTTTCCATTACAAGACTGTCCACTAAATGGCAGCCATCTTGAATGTTTTTGCACTTCTAAATACTCCTCTATTCAAATAATCTGTTGGTTTGATACAAATTTACTTATATAGCAACTATAAAAAAGTTGGAAAAAAAAATGATTGATTTTTTTATTACTATAAAACAAATTGTCATGGTTTGTAAGCTTTTGATGTCATATTGACAAATTTGTTAGGAACTTCAAACCTGGGCACATATTTGTCATCCAAATTAACAATAGCCCTAAGCATACCACCACATTAATTACCAACAAAGTTATTTTAACCCAACTGACTTTAAACAGAAAAGTATTATCTGATTTAATGTCAAACATTTAAAAAACAAGAGTCTTGTTATGCAGTGCATGCAACTGTCTTGCCTAGGTGTAAACCTCAAAGCTTAATCGGACCAAGTTGCATCTGTCATGGGACATCTGTGGTTGGCTGAATGACTGATTGTAGGATTAATTGCTTTGGAGTCCACAGACTTGATCAAATACTATGCAAATAAAGGCTATTTTCCATATCACATGTACGTCATATTTCTAAAATATGGCGTCACGATGTTAGTTTTATTTCCTGGTTTGTTTTTGGGACTCTATATAAAATACCCATTTCTGCCTTCAGGAGGTAAAAGGTGAATTAGTTCCCACTTGTTAGTCAGGGAAGGAAGAAGGCAGCTGAAAAGCAAAAACTGTGGGGCCAACAAGTCGCAGTCATCATCTTTGTGTGCATTTTCTTTGTTCAACAAACGTTTTAGAACAGTAAAGTACTGAGCCGAAGCCTTCAGTCCTTCTTCACATCTAACAAACTGGCTTGGCATGTTTTAAAGTTTTCTTGAGCAATAGTTTTCATGGCTGTCTAAACGATTGTTACAGTTTTGCTTTAGAAAATGTTTTTGGTTACTTTCAGTAAAAGCATTTTATCACTTTAGAATTTGTTGGGTTTAAGTTTCTCAACTATCACCACCAAAATGCCCCCCAAAAAACTTTTATTTTTCCGATTTCTTAGAAGCAGCAGCTTCTAAAGACGCAGTTTCTTTACAGCATCATCCAACAATAATCACACCTCCGCAACTTCTTCTAGTTCAGTTTTTTTTAACAACGTGGTTACCTGGGAGACAAGGTTTGATGTTTTTTTTTTCTTTTCAATGCATAAACTGTACATTTTTATTTATTTTCCCAATCACCCAAAAAATCCAATCCAACTATTTTTCTTCAGAAAAGCAAAATGGAGTCCACCAGAGTGTAATTTAGTCTCCGCTTAATAATCTTTGTAAAGTACAGAGAGGTTTGTGAACAAACCCCTTCACAGTGGGGATTTTTTTTCACATTCTACAAAATAAAACTGAAGTTTCTGGAATAAAAAGCTACAAATGCAAGAGACCAACATGCAAACAGCACACAAGAAGGCCCCCGCCTGATATTTGACCCCTGGACTTTCTTGCTGTGAGGCAAAAGTGTTAACCACTGCGCCCTTGTGTGCCCTCACTTATAATATACTTACTTAAAAATCTGATATACGGTAAGAACACAAATTGAACTTAAAGGTGAAAAGACCGTCGTAAATTCTACTTTGCCAGTCTGACAACAACCTGAGCTCAGAACGGAGCAACGTAGCCGTAAAACCCTCACGGAGTTTCTCGTTTTTTTTTTTTAATTCAGACTCGCCTGATGTATATTTGAATTTGTCTCCAAGTGACTGCGTCTGAACTCGGAGAGCCGGAGTGCAAAGAGGGGTCAGCAGAACGTAAACAGAGACCTCCACACGATTTACGATGTTTTCTGGCTGCTAAAATGAGGGGTCTGCACATTCTCACAATCATAACAGCTTCTTGCAGCTTTTCAATCAACCTGACTTGGGTTGACATTGTTTTTGTGTTTGGGTTTTCCACCTTTAATTTTCCCGTCTTGTCATCTGTGCTGCATTTCTGACGTCTGTTTGTAGCTTTAATCATGTCGCTGCCTCGTAATTTAATTTGTCTTACTGTGACAGTAATGGAGTCCACCAGAGAGTAATTCGGACTCTTCAGTATTGTCTGGGTCGTCTTTTGGTTATAACCAGGAGAACTTATTGTTTCACTTTCCTCCTCTGTTTTTCTTGGTACTATTTAAACCAGAGGTGTGTAAAGTGTGGCCCGGGGACCATTTGTGGCCCTTGAAATAATTTTGTTTGGCCCCCCGACCACAAGTCAAGAATGGTAAAAATTTGGCCAACAAAGTAGAAAACAATTAATGACCAAAAATATATGTATATTTTTTCCAATAAAGCAACGTTTATGTTTTGGATCTTTAACAATATACAGATTTCACCAAAAAAAATAAATATATATACATATATATATATTAGCTGGTTTAAAAAAAAAAAGCAGACTAATTTTTAATATAATAAATTTGGTGGCCTGCCAGTAGTTTAAATTTGTCAGCTTTGGCCCTCAGGGTAAGAAGTTTGGACACCCCTGCCTTAAGCCCAACATTGTGTCTCGGGGAAACCCTGTCACACATGTGGACATCTGGTTCAACATTAGAGATCATTCATCCCAACAGCATTAAACCCCCACCCAGCCTCACCGCTCTACTCCAAATCCTGCGCCTGTTGACAGTCGTTACCTGTGCCCCAGAGGGCCCTCGCTGCCCCGCGATAAAACGACCTCTGCACGGAGCCAGACACATAAATATTTCTTTTTCTATTTTCCAAAATAGCTTTTAATTTTACAAGTTTTATGGCCCGAATATTAAGTGCATATGTTTTACAAGACACCGTGTCCTCTCTCTCACCCCTTTAGGTTCACTTTGGGAGTTTTCGTCTTCAGTCATCTGAAGGGAAAAAAAAGGGGAGGAAAGTGAAAGGCATAAAGTGATGAGGTTACTCAGGAGTTTTCTGCTCATTTCTCCACAGATCCACATGTTTCACTGAAATCCTTGCAGGAAAGCTGATCACAGAAAGCAGTTTAGTGTTCCTGCTTTAAGTTCTTGTGTTTTAATGCTTTCATAAAAAGTATGTTTTTCTTTTGCACACAATACATTTCGTGTGAGTTTGGCAGCTATGAAGGGTATCAATTTTTATGTGCATCTGTTTTGTTTTTAGGAATACTTTTCCCATGCCATGAACACAATGGACCGGAGCCCAAGGGATTTAATACTTTAAAAGTGAATTGTGAAAAAACGCCAAAGTGCTCAAGATCTCAAGCCAAATTTTATAAGGCCACGGTATGGTCATCTTCTGTGAAGCTCATCTATGACATTTTTAATAAACCCTGACTTATGATTTTATCTGTACCCAGAATATTTCAGTAGCTAATTCACTAAATATTTGTACATTTGTAACTGGAATGACAATAAGGAGCCACAGAAGAGAACAAACTTTACTGACTGATAAGTTTGGAGTTTCAGTATTAATAGAAGGAAACATGACCCACTGATTGGTATTAACTGAAAACAAAAACTAAGTTAAGGAGCAAGTATTGACATATTTGTTTAAACCCACCGTGTCATGACAGTGTAATATGGAGACCTGTGAATAGATCACCACTCCTCCCAATGATACCATTGGCATCTGAAACCATCAATGGAGAAACAGAAAAATGTCCAGCTGGATAATTAAGACAAAAGTGGCCAAATCGTTGGTGGCCATGCCAACTAGCCTGAGCAGTTATGATGGACAATACCATCAGGAAGAAGCCGTTAGCATAGCAAGGGCAAGGGTGTTAGCATATGTTTCTGACCATGATTGACAGCACAGAGGCCCTCCCTCTGGCTCTGATTGGTTGTTTCTAATTAGCACTGGGAGAAGCCAGAGGAGCATGATTGGGAGTAGTGTCATATTACTGGCACAATATGGTGATAGATTCAATAGATAGAAAAATATTTGATAAAAAGCTACACAATGCAGCTTTACATAAGTGTCAAGTACATGATGAAACCAGTTAAATAGCTATACTGTCTCACTTTAGAGCACTTTAAAAAAAAGTCAGAAGTTGTCTGAGGCCAAACCATGTTAGGCAGACCTTTAAAAAATAAAATAAAATAAGGACTTGATGGAGATGAGGGGAGGAGATGCAGGTGCTCAAGTCCCATCTTCCTGATGGGAAAACTGTACGAAAGGAGAGTGGCGACACAGGAGAGTCCTCCAAGGGTGAGCAGCTTCACACACACAAACGTTAAGACAATCCTGATCAGACAGACGACAGGCATAAGAAGCAGAATAAATCAAAAAGAATCCACAGGGCAGCAGTCAGAGTCCTGAGAAATAAGATGTTTCAGCACAAAAAGGATTACTCACATTATGAGGGAGGAGACAGAAGTAGGTCAGGTACACTATAAGGACCACATACCACTCACAGGCTGTGCCTGGAATAACAACAAACCATCTCAAACTGAGTGACTGAAGACCAGGTGTTTAAATAGGGAGCAGCACAGGTGAGGGCAATGAGCTGATCAGCAGGACAGGGAGGAGCAGCGAGCAGCGAAGCAGCAGAGCCGCACGTACATGTTAGCAAACACCAATAATGACATCCTGACTGGCTCAAAACAAAGGGGACATTCTGGAGTGGCTTTGTCTAAAAGTTTGAACTTAAATCCAATTAAAATGGATTAAAAGTGGATGAATTAAAACAATTCTGCAAATAAGTTTGGACTGTAATTCAGCTACAGCAATATATAAATGTATTTCAGCTATGATGATTTTCCACTTACAGGTGATGAAAACAAGACATTTAAATTAAAAATATCACAACAGAACAACAGAAAACTTTTTAAAAACAGAAATGTGAGCTTACTGAAACCTGCTTAAAGGTTATTTTCAAAAAGGTGCTTTCAGTCTCCCTCATTTGAACTCATATTCTCATTTTCTGAATGTGACAGTATAAAAGTCAGACTGTTCTCAGAACAATTTAAAAAAATCAAAACTCCTAATCCGTGACTATAACTCAATAAGAATTTGAAATGAGAGACAAAATGTCTTGAAGAGAAAGAAAAGAAGACCAGCTGCGTTTTAGTCAAACACAGATGAGTAACGACCTTTTGCTGCTACTGTTGGTGGTTAATAAACGGAATTGAATGTGACTGGAAGAAATGCAAACTCAGACAGTAGCTGTGCTTCTATTGACCATATAATTGTGCAAATTGGTTTTACCGAAATAAATTAGCTCAATGGAAACGCGCCAATTTAGAAAAACTTGGATAAAAAGTTTTTGCGCTATGATGATGATGTGATTTCTTGGCTAGATTGAAATTTGTTTATTTCGCAAAACAAATTCAAATTCAAAAATATTTTATTGAAAACTCAGACAGAAACACTTTTTTTCACATCACACGAGTCACCTGATCAACAGCCAGATGTTACTTCCCACGAAGACTACAGGAATGTAGGTAGGCATGTTTTTTAATGACTTATGGCGAAAACACGAATTTACCCCTATTAATTTCTTTTTCATAAACGTTGTAATTACTATTTTTTTTTTCTTTTTTTACATTAGCTGAATATCGACAAAGTGTTGCACCCTAGTGAAGTTAGAAAGACATCCTCTCGTGATTTTACATTTGTGGTAACTGACCTATTAGTGTCTAAAACTTTGTTTTTACTGTTTCCCCCCCCCCCAAGTAAAATGACATCAGTCCTCTGACTTGAAAAAGCCTCTCTGAAAAAAAAGCCCATCTATTTACTTGAAATACAGAAAAGCTTATTTATAAAATAACATGATTTAAACTTCCAACAGCAGCATTAATAACAGGAACACCAAAGTGGTCTGTCTTCGAGGAATGCTCCATGGGTTTCTCAGCCTAAACACAGAATGATTAAATATTTACAGATCACATCTGGAAGATAATGTGCATAATAAATATGAATCACGAAAAAAATAATAGAGTTTAGTCTGATGCAAACCTTAATTCTTAAATTTGAGGAATTTGCCTGACAGTTGGAGCTTTTTATAAGCTGAATTTACATCAACATTTAGATCACAAACAGGAGTTAGGAAACAATGCGCCACAGATACCACAACGGGAATAAATCGAGGCACATCACTCCTTGATCCCCGTGTTTCCCACAGTGAACGGCCTCATTGATTTTTCTAATTGCCAAAGCAGATATTACCAGTTTCGGCTCTGCGTGAGTTGAGACGCAGAGCTGTAAATCCCTCCGAATCTACACCCGGCAGGCTTGCATCACTCTGCGTCCGCCCCGCTCAGACTCGGCTCCGGCGGCGACATGAGTTACAACGCTCCGTCCCGCCAGGATTTATCACTGTGGCGTTCGGCAGATCTGGATGGAGGGAGAGGCTTCAGGAGGAAAATTGATCCATCATGTTACCGTGGCAGAAGAGAGGACGTTTTCAGGGATTCGCTGAATTTCTCAAAGAAAAAGAAAAAAAAAGAAAACTGTTTCTTTTATATATATATATATATATATATATATATATATACAAGTAATCTCAAGTTTTCTGCATTTACGAGAGACAGACTGATGAACTTTTATTTTTCTTTTACGAGGCAGGTGTTTTTAAATGTGGTACATAAATTTTAGAAGTTTAGGGAGGACTCCCACTGAAGTTTTTTGTGCGATCGTTTTTTTGCAGATGGTGGGACTAGAGAATGATGAAAGAAACGAGAGGGAGGCGCTAAGAAGTCTCTCATCTGATGTATCATCTGTTCTTTTTCCTCTTTTTTGCTATAAACAAAAACCACAATAACAGTAATTCAGTCAACAGGGTCCACACACATCTGCTGCTCCAACCAGATGCTGCTGACTTATTTATATTTTTCCAGGTGGCCTTTTAGATAACTGCGGGGAAAAATGGTTTGGAATTAACTAAATAAAATCTCTGTAAACCTTTGTGGATTTTTGGAAACATAATAAACTTAAACACTTTATCTGTGGATGTTCTCTTGACGTTCTCTCATGTTATTTCATCTGGATTTTTCTCATGGATTCTCAGTTTTGGTCCAAAGCCCAAATCACTGCAGCAGAAGCCTACAGTTAAAGCTTTCATGTATTTCTTCAGTATTTGGTAGAATTTGTCTTTGAGAAGCTTTTCATAATAGTTTGAAGGAATTTTGGTCAATTTTTCCTGAGATTCTTGGTATCACTGAGTCTGGGTTGTCAGCAATCTTACTTGCACACACATTTCTACATCCACTAGCAAGTTTTCCGTGAGATCAGACCTTTATGATTGGCACTCCAAGCATTGGCTTTGTTGTTATTTGTAGTCAATTTGAGGTTGTGGCTTAGGGTCATCGTCCATTTGTAAGACCCAGAATTTAAATTTCCATTATGTTTGTTTGTAGTGTCCAGAATCTCAGAGGTTATGCAATTGAAAAGTGAAGCAGGTTTTACTGACAACAAAATGTCTTTGCCTTCATATGCAGTCCTGCTCGATTCTCATCTCCCTTCAGTGCTCTATCTGGGTTTCTCCCATTGAATTCAATTCCTTTGGTAGAACTTCAACTGGGCCAATCAGTGAACAGAGGAAGTTGTGAATGATCACATTGATTTCCTGAGCTGTTTCAGAATTGAAGTCATAGTTATTGCAGTGGCAGTTGAGAAAGTGAGCGAAAACCTTCAGTCCGCGTTGGCCACACATCCAAACATTGAAAAGTTAAAGACATTTTATTGCTGACAAATACGCCATTGCTTTTGCCAGTTACCATAAGCAGTACTGATGCCACATCTTTGTGTCCCATCTGGAGGGGAGCGGAGCGTCTTGTCAGGCTTTTTCCAGATGTTTTAGGGGAGTTAGGAACAGAAAGACTGGCATTCTGGCAGAGAGGCGTGAAGGGGTTTGGGAAGTTGGCCAGGGGCCCTTCCCTCTACGGAGACAAACTGATGTCAAGTTTCTGGATCCAGAAGGGCTTAAGTGAGTGTTTGTTCTTCACATGGAAGAGACCAGGACAAAGCAGCATGAGGTTGTCCTCCTGAGGAGATGGCTAATCAGTTTTGCCTTGTCTGAGTAGAGGCTCAGGATCAGGTGAGAAAACTGTTATTGTTGTTAAGCAGCTTTCAGCTACATCTGAGATATATTTCCATAAACAGATAGTTGTTAGAATGTCGCTTCAGTCAAAAAAATCCAGCTAAAAGCAATGCACTCAGGTATACTCTTAGAACTATTTGTATAGCTTTTTATTTCTCTAACTTGTGTTTTAATCGATCATATGTGTAATCTTTCCACATCTCTGTCAGAAACTCTTTGTTCTTTTCTGAACCGCTGGTCAACGGACCATAGATCCGTCCACCTCTGTGTTTTAACGAGCCTCTCCGTCCATAATGCCATATAACACACACACTTTGTGTTTGATCGGTAGACATAAACATCCGCTGCGGCTGCAGCGCGGTCTAAAAGCCCGGCCACAATCCACGACCACCGTTACGCCATGAGCGACGAAGGCCAAGGTCTTCGGCGAGAGGGGAGAACAATAGCGAGAGAAATATGTGGAGCACTTGTCACCGTTGGTCTGACAGTTTGATCGGTTAATAAAACAGGAAGAAACAGGGTTCTCTGGTCGCAGTGACTTTGCGTTGTGTTTGTTTTATGAACCCATGTGAAACATTACTCAGCATCGTTATTTACTGTTGCTCATTTGCTTTGTGATTAGAATTTACAAAGATGACAAAAGGAGACCAGAATCCAGCTGAAATGTAAAACCTCAGCTGGAAAAAAGTACCGGCAGAGTTCAGACACGGGTCGGAACAGAACAGAAACCCACATTTGCAGTGTTTCATTGCTCTGTATGAGCAAAATGTCTTTTACCGGCTGACAGTAGATCTGTGGTGAACTGAGACCTTCCCAACCTGCTGAGATGTTCTTACATTGTGGGTCAGAAGTTTACATACACTCATTATCAGCATTCATTTCCTTTTGATTTTGGTCTTACAACCTCAGTGAATAAAACTCTGGTTCAGAAGTTTAAATTGATTGTAATTTGTTTTTTTTTTGTTTTTTTTTATCCAACTACAGTGATGTGAAAAAGTATTTTCACCTTGGGCAAAGTTGGCTTAGATTTTTGACGGGTTTTCTCTCAGTTCAAAACTACATTATTTTTTTTCCAAGTTATTTCTGTTGATTTTAAAATTGTTTGATTATCTGAACATTTCAACCTCTGAGGTGAAAATGCTTTCTCATGATTTGGATGTGGATTCCTCTAAAAGGTCCTTTAGCAGAAACTGTGGAGTTGATTTGAAGTGGCTGGTTTCCAGACATGCACTCAGCTTTGAATTCATTCATTTGTGGAGTTTCGGTAAGGGCCTTCATCAGGTCCAGAAACAGTTTTGATTTCCTTGGCCTCAATGTCCTGTTGGAATATCCAGTTGTATCCAGGTTTTATCAGTCCTGCTCACATTTGAGGGACAGTTGAAGAATTTCCAGATGGGTTTCCTC